TACGCACACTCACATGCACACACACATTCACATGTACCACTCACATGCACATACACTCATGTGCATACACACATATAACTTATCTGTAATGTCAACCCTTATAAAGTGCTTCACAGATGGTCTTTTCTAGCTTGAGATTCATTAGCCTTTTCTAAGACTCAGGAAATCATAAAATGCATGCTTTGAAGACAGCTGAGAAAAATTTTGTTCAATTATTACAGCAAAAATTTTCCAGCTCCTGACAATAAAACACTTAAGCCACATGTGGAGTCAAGAAGGTGTGTGTGTGTGTGTGTGTGCGTGTGTGTTTGTGCCTGTATATGCATGTACATGTGCATGTGTCTGCATGTGTATGTGTGTGTATATGAGTGTGCCTATAGATGCATATTTGTGTGTTTGCATAAGCATGTGTGTGTTTGATTATACATATATGTATGTGTGCGTTTGTGACTGTGCATTTGAGACAGAGGAGATTGCTACACAGACCTCTCAAGGCCTGCCTGGCTCTGTCACCGAACACTGTGGTTACAGACCTGTGCTTCTGTGCCTGGCTCCTATGATGTCACCTCCAGGTAAGGCCCATTTACAAATCCATCAGTAATTCTAGCCTTACTTTGTTTTGATTTGCTTCTCTGTTTTTTTTTTTCTTTCAAAACTTTACATCTATTCATTTGTGTGTGGAAGAGGATGCATGAACACCACGGTCAAAGGGTAACCTGCAAGGACTGGTCTCTCCTTTGTCTGTGGGTCTAGGTCCTCAAACTCGGGTGGTCAGCCTTGGTGACAAGCACCAAGCTGGCCCATGCTGCTGGCTCTGTTGTTTTTAGACTCTGTGAATGTAAGTGTCTAATCACACTTCATGATCACAAATTCACACTATTTCCTTCTAAACTATTCCATAACTAGATTTCTTAGTGGATTCAGTTTTTCTGCCTTGGCATAGTCTCACTGAATAGCCGTTGGTATTGTTTAAAAGCATTGTGACTCTCAACACCTATGGTTTGAAAAAGAAGAGGGTGGTTATTGTGCAATTTTGGTGATTCTAAGATTAGACACAACAATCCATTTCCTGCTTTGTTATTTGTACAATTTGACGTCATCTCAAGCAACAGCATCTTCCCCTCAGATTTCCACCAATGACAATCCTCTGGTCTCCAGCTCTGACCCTCTCTCTCATGGCCTGTAAGACACCAGCAGACTGAAACTTCGGATCCCTGATCAGCAAGGTCTGTGTCCTATTCAGCCTGGAGAAGTTCTGGAGACTTGATCTTCAAGCCCTGTCAAGCTGAAGGAATCAAAAGCTTGGAGGAGGACAGTGAGGCCTGATGAGAAGGTAAGGGAAACTCCAGGGCGTGAAAAGGGGAGGGTGAGTGTGGCTCCCTTACCCCGGGAACTAATTTGTCTCTCCTGACTAGAGTCAGGAGAAGTCAACAAAACTGGTCAAATAAAAATGCCTACAAAGGTAATGTGTTTTTTTCTAAAGACATCTCAAACAATGGCATTAAAGACAACAAAGGAACTATGGTTACTTTGGTCCATGATGTTTGTAACCTTGAGTTTTTATTATTTAGGGTCCTTCCCTCATCTATCCCTAAACTTAAACAATGTATCTCATAAAGTTACTTTAAATTTCCCCCACAGGAGGAAACTCTGCAAGAAAGTAAGTAGATCAGTTCAAACAACTTTTGCTCAAGTTTTAAATCTCATTTAAACTTCAACCTTTGCATAACTTTTAAGCCATGTAATAAATTGTGCTCTCTGACTTAGAAAAGTCACAAAACCACACACACACACACACACACACAAACACACACACACGCACACACACGCACATGCACATGCATACGCACTGCTACACACACACACACACACACACACACACACACACACACACACACACACACACACACACGCACGCACCACTCGATCTTTAGTATACCAAATAGACATTGCTTGCCCACTTCTATGATGGACATAGGATCCCGTGACTAACAAATGAAAACCTTTTGGAATGTATTTACCTAGCCAAAAACAACAACAACAACAACAACAACAACAAAAATCCCTCCTTTCCACCAACCGAAGGGCTAACAATGCTGTCAGTATCCAAGGCCTAAAGCTGAGTTCTCCACACCTCCCTGATGTGCCCACCACTGAATTGAGATTGTCCTGATCTCTGTTATTCCCACTTTCTTTATTCTGTTACTATAAAAGGCTTGGGTTACTGCCACCTCATTGGAACATGAACCACAGGAACCAGCAGTGCCTGTCTTCCTGGGCCAGGACCTCTCATTTTGGCTCAGGAAAAAACTTTTATCTCTTTTGAAGTGAGAGCTGTGCTTTCAATTTTCTTCCTGGGTCACATTTGCACCTCACTTTTAGGGTTGGACTCAGGTACCCATGCTGCACCCAAGGAAAACACTCTAAGGACTGAGTTCTCTCTCCAACCTAAAAGCTGAGTGCATTTAAAACAGATGCCACCACCTTGCTTTCTGAACTTCCGGGGACTCCTCAAATCCTGCTGGAGCAGTTTGGTATCAAGATTCTGCCCCTCTTGTCCTCCTGAAGAGTTTAAACTTTCCTACTTTTACAATGGAGTTTAGGTTTCAGTTCTCTGAGAGGGGCAAACAGGTGTCTCTCAGGGCCGTTTATCAACAAACCACATTCAGGGATGAGGGAAAGAGCAGGAACAAAGCCTAAGTCAGCCCCACAATGTATCAAGGACAGTTCCTGCAACCCCCTTGAAGCTTACCCAAGTACGTCCAAAGATAAAACCTCAGCCATTTAAAAGTGTACTAATGTAACCGCTACTTGTTTAACCAATCATGTTTGAGATGGCCTAACTGTTCCTAAAATTCCCCTAGCTGTGCCTAAAAGGAGACTGCTCGCTCCTCTCAGGGTTGTCGCCATTTTGCACAGGTGAAAGACCCCGCAGATGCTGGTAAATAAAATGCTCTTTGCTTTTACCTGATGCTTGAGTCTGGGGTCTTCCTTCAATGTTTCCTCGGACCCTTACACTCCCCCTTGGCTTCATTCAAATATTAATTTTCCTTTGTGTATCCCAGAAAAATGGGCTTAGACTAACATTGTCACTTGACTCAATCATCTCTTCCCCATAGTACTGATGTCCTAACAGACACAGACTCACTCATGACCTAGCTTCTAGCCAGCACACCAATCCTCCAGGCCAAGGTTGTTTGTTAGGTTTCTCTCTGCTGTTTACCAAGTACTGGAAGATTATCTGGTACAAAATGGCTCCTTGTTAATTAGTTGTAGAATATGGTAATGAATTAATAGTTTAATAAGTTGAATCAGCATTTTTTGTTTTTATAAAACTCTACCTTTTTAATGCTTCTTTCCTATACATTTTGGTTTATAGTGCTATTTCCCTGTTATTTCATTTGGTTTTATTTTCTGAATTCTGGGGCTTTACCTATGTCTGCTATTTCAAACATATTAACTGAATTATAGAAATGTCTGCTGGCCACATTGATAAGCAAGTTGACAGTGTATTATTATGTATATTGGAGTTTGGGTATTATTTATTTATTTATTTATTCATTTATTTATTTATTTATTATGTGCATGTACGTGTGTGTGTGTGTGTGTGTGGTTTGTGTGTGTGTATGTGTGTATGTGTGTGTGTGTGTGTGTGTGTGTACATGCACACATATGGGTGTACAGGCATGCAAATGTGCCAGGGTGTTCATGTGGAGGTCAGAGGAAAGCCTGTGGTAGTCATTCCTCTTTGTCCACCATGTAGGTCCTAGGGATTAGACTCCGGTTTGCGAGACTTGGCAGACCAGTGACCTCGCCAGCTGAGCCACCCCTCCAGCCTTGTGTATCCTTTTCTTCACAACCAGACTGGGCCTTCTCCTCCCTCCCTTCCCCCCTTTCACTTCCATCTTCCTTTCATCTCATCTCCACTCTTCTTTCCTCCTCTTCTTTCTTCAAAGGCCATGTAGACACATCGTGTCCTGTGCTTTCTGGATGACCTGCTGTGGTTGAGGCTGTACTTTGCTCCCTGGCTTCAGGAGTCTGGGCCAGGCTTCTCCACCATGAAGCTACTGTTTTTTTTTTCTATTCTTCCCTTCTTTGAAAGTGAGACATTGTGCACAGCCCACCTTTAAGAGGTGGAAGTCATCCTCCAGACACTTGACAGGAAATGTATGACTTTGAAATTCTTCCATGCAAGAGGTTGAATTGTTCTCCTTATTTTTCCTGATTTATTTATAGAAGTATAGATTTAGAGGTATTTATATTAGTTTATGCTTTGGGATGCAATTTTTCTAGTACATTATCTATTATGTTGCATAAATTGTTCCACCGGGTTCCATTTGGATGCTGGATCACAAACATTCTCTCACTGCATTGTTCAGTTGGTCTTGTGTTTTCGTTACTCTACCTTTGGACTGCCGTCCATGTTGAACATCTCTACATGAGCCTAGGTGCCCCTCATCAATGTCTTACGCATACTTTGTTAGATTTATTCCCAAGTGCCTCCTTTTTTATTACTATTATACAAGACAATGTTGCTTTAATTTCAAATTCTAGTTGTTCATTACTGATAGGGGAAGGCAATTAAATTTTACAATTAAACTTTTTGACCTTGTGTCTTACCACTTTGCTGTGCTTGCTTATTACACTTGGCATGGCTTGGTTCTTTCTCTCTGTGATGGAGAATAATGTGATGATGGAATAATTGCAGCTTTGTCTGTCCTTCCTTCTGTCCTTCCTTCCTTCCTTCCTTCCTTCCTTCCTTCCTTCCTTCCTT